ACTTACAGTAATATTCTACCAAGACATCAAACATTCAAAATATTACAGATAGATTTTAAATAATTATTAATTCGGTAAAAAAATTAATACAAAAAAGGTTTAAAAACTATTAATAATATCCTGTGCATTATTATAAATTATTAATTAATTATAATTATTACTATCACAAAATAATTAATTAAGGTAGAGGATAACAAAATCTATATTTTTTTAAACAATTTACATGAGCTGGAACATTTTGTGCAAGGCAATATATTACTGTAGATTTTAAATTTGTCAATGCTAAAACTAGAACGGGTTTCAAAAAGTGAAGTATTTTTGGATGAAATGTTTTTTTCTATAGATGGATGAATCAATTTTTGTAGATTTGGACTATTCATCATGAAAGCAGAAGATATATATTGAGTCAATTTTCACGACTGACTGTTTTTATTGAAAATATTTAATTTAAACAAGGTAGATTAATTACAAAATAGGTATACATTTTTTGTAATTAAGAAACCTTGTAAACTTATTATATTTTTGGAAATAGAAAAATATTAAATAGTCTATTTAATTGTTTACATGCCGTAAACATTCACCAATGCATGGACAGTGTATTTTTTTAATCCATATAAATTAAATACAGCAATGCAATACATACCTAAATCATAACAAGTTATTGTAATAACACCAAGTACAAAAAATTGCATAAGACCTATTTGACTAAAATGAGCCCATAGCACCCAAATGCACTCGATATAAGTCCGGGTGACTTGGCAATAGATTTGCATTATTAGTTTTTAAAGAAAGGTACCTACTGGCAATGTCCAGCGGACATCTCTTTTATTTAGATTTGGTGTAAAGGTTGTAAATATAAATTTGTTGTTATTTATTTGTATAAGTAAAAGAGATGTCAGATTTGGTGCCCAATATTAACACTAATTACAGTTCGCCATTAAATTAAAACATAATTTTTATAATTAAATATTTTTTATTACTCCTCGTATACTCAAAAGATTATTTAAAATTTCCTATCACCTTCTTTAAAAAATTAAATAAAATTATAAAGATAATTCCTGTCAATTTAAACCTATACCCTAAAGAAGTCTCGGGTTTTCGCAACGCAACTTCTATAGCATTGCGTGACTTTAAGAATTGTCAACAATACATTTAAAGCACAGATTATACATCATTTTTAAATAAATAGGTAGTTTTTTCACAAAAGAGGCTCGACAAATTTCATTCAATTGCACAGCTAAATCGCGCACGTTATTTGTGTTTTACGTTGCAAGGAAAAAGTTAAAAAACTTTTTTAGTACTTGATTTCGATTAATTATTTCTTATATTATAGATTAAGAAACTCAACGCTTAAATGCTTATAGGTATAGTTACGTTAGTGTGTGTATTTTATCATGGTGGATTATTGTGTTTTTAATTGTAAATAAAATTCAAGAACTAAATCGTTGCATTTTCATGTTTTGCCAAAGGATCCAATTCCGTAAGTACATTTGTTGGTGCAGAATTAACTAATAATAACTTTACCATACTTATATAATTTATATTTAAGTTTGGACATTTTTAAGAAATTAGTAAAAAATAATTTTTGCACAAACATAACCTTAAAATCAACCATTTCTATATTTGAGTTCTCTAAAAAACGCCGACAACAGCATTTTAAATAACAAAATATACCTACGAATTCTACTATATTCTGTTTAAATTTAGACGATTTTACTAAATTGAAATATTTACATTTATTGTTTCTAATAGATACAATTTATATATAAAAAACCGTGACTCGATTTGTTGTGTTGTTGGGTGTATTTCGAGAGGAAATCCTGGGTTGAGTTTTTCCAAGTTTTCCAATAAACATTGTTAATCTGAATGAAGAAATAAATTGCATACAGTCTCTGTAAATATATTTACAGAGACTGTATGCATACTATGCAATTTATTTCTTCATTCAGATTAACACTGTTTATTGGAAAACCTGGAAAAATGTTTTTGAATTGTTAGTATTTATGTTTAGAAATAGGCATTTATTCTCTAATTTGTACATGTCTTCGCAACGTACCCAAAATCTAATATTTCCACGCCACCGTTTGAGCCAGTATGAGAAAGGTTGTTACTATGCATGTATAAAATGTTTTAATCATTTGCCAAAATATCTTCAGATTGAAACAAAATTGTCAATATTTAAAAAAAAAGCTTAAAGATTTGTTAATACATATAGAACCATATAGTTTAGAAGAATTTCAAAATAGATCAATGAATAATTGATAGAATTGTTAGTTTATCAATGCATTTATCCTTTGCTTTTGACATTTTTTTCCATAATTGTTTATGTGTGTAACCTGTAAACAATTATTTGAAAATAAACTATTATTATTATTATTATAACTCAACCCAGGATTTCCTCTCGAAATACACCCAACAACACAACAAATCGAGTCACGGTTTTTTCCCGATATTTTTTAACATTTTCCGGCTTTATTCTCAAAAACACTCGTTTGTAACCTAAGCTTTTAACAGCTGATTATTAAAAGTTATACTTTTGTTACGATGATAACAGCCGAGTGGTGGCGCTACTAGCGATACTTCTTTAGCGTATTAAAAACTTTCAAAAATACGGTTTGCTGACGGATAAAAAGAAAGGAACAGAAATGCAAGGGACCAAAATTAGCGAATATTTTTCTATTTACTTTATCCATAGTAACGGATGTATTATTGTTTAGAGAAATGCCAAAGTGACACAAAAATGATTTAATTTATTTACTCGCGAAATTTTCCAACCAATATCACTCGAGGTTCGATTAAGCAGGAAATTTTTTGGATTTTTAACTTAAACTTGGTGGTTTGTTAATTTGACTAAGAAATTTGGGCGAGAAAATCATTCGAGCTACGCTCTCATGATTTTATTGCCCAAATTTCTTCTCATCAAATTAATACGTCAAACCCCACAAGTATTCGCAAAAAGTCAAAATATATCCGGCTAAATCAATCCTCTAGTGGTATTACATTTGAATATTTTCTGTACTAGGCATACGAAGTTTGATCAAAATTACTGTTTTAAAAATTATGCATTCATTTTGCGGCCAAGTGTATGTTACCTATCTAAAAACATATACCTACTTAAATCAATTAATTTTACATAGAAATTAAACTTAATTAAGTTTTTAAATTTAAATGCTTGGAGATTAAAAAGTTAGTGCTAAATTTTCATAGTTTTAGGAAAGTTTTATCACTTTAGAATTTCAAATTCTTTTTAAAGATATGTCTTCCAAATTATGTTTTCTGTTTTGTTCTGTTTTTCTTGACAATTATTTTTTTTATATAAACCAATTTTTTAGAAAATAAATAATTTTTGAATTTAATGAAAAACTGATGTTGTGCCTTTAACATTGCTTTTTTCATTCAAAGTATACAGGGTGTCCAGAAAACACATTACAACGGAATACTATAAATTCCTTACCTCAATAAATTTAAACTAAGCGACGTTTGGCCTCAATGGAAATTTTTAATTGAAAATACGTTAATCGTTTTAAACCAGTTAAGTATAGCCTATAGCCTATAGCCTATACAGTATAGGTAAGTGTATCGAGTTATTTTAAGTAAGGAAATGTATTTTTTTCTTTGTACAATTGGCGTCCCCGAAATGTGAACGGCAAAATTTAATCGTGTAATATGGGCTTTGCATCAGTGTCGTCGGTAGTTGTCAAATTTGATAATAGTTGTCAATTGCAATATTAAAAATGCCACCCCACTTAACTGAGGCTCAGAGGTCCAGGGCAATAGCCAACTTAGAAGAAAATTGGTCTTTAAGTGAAGTGGGTGCAGATTTAAATGTCAGTAAAAGCTGCATATTTTATATCAAGAAACGTTGGCAAGAACAACCAAGATTGAGAAGACCTATCAGGCAAGGTGTAGGTAAAATCTCCAACGAAAATGAAGACAATGCTCTTGTCGCACATATTACGCAAAATCGTTTCAATAGCGCAGTTAAGGCCCGAGAAGATACACAATTTCCAGGATCTCTTCGAACAGCTCAAAACAGATTTAAACTAGCTGGCTTAAAAAAACTGTGCTGCTGCTCATAAGGTTTTTTTAACTGACGAAAATAAGCGCAGGAGAGTCCAGTTCGCCAATGACTATCTAAATTATGGAGAGGAATTTTGGAATAATGTTTTCTGATAAAAAAAACCTTCCAATCTTGCAATAATTATTGCATTAATGGAAGGCTGCGTGTATATCGTCCAAGAGACGCAAGATTTAAGGAGAACTACACATTAAGAACCTTAAATAGTGGACGCTTTTCTATACATTTTTGGGCGTGGATAAGCGTCCATGGTGCGGGAATATGTTGGGAAATTGATGGTAGATTAACGGCTGAGCACTTTACACTCAGAGAAATATCATGTCATGAAAAGCATAAGAAATTATATTAATTTAAATAATCGGGTAAATTTGATTTAAATAGAAAAAATTTGTAGTTTTATATTCATTTACCAACAGTTTTACAATGTTTTTAAACATTTTTAAAGTGTACCCTCTTTTAAGTATATATACAAAAAGAAATAAATTTATTTCATTGCCTTTCTCAACGTTGTTTCGAAAAGATATGTATTGTACAATAGTTATACACCTATTAATTTAATAGGGCACACCATTGACTCCAAAACATATTTGAATCTCTTTGAATTATTATCGTTTTGGATGATTCTACAACATTTTTTCTCTCAGTGTACGATTTTGGACAACCTTATGCTACCTTCAGTTAGTCATGTGTTTTCAGAAAATTTTATATTCCAACATGTTAGAAAACTATACAAAAGTATACAAAAATAAATCTAATAAATATTATATTACAGGACAATGCACCAGTTCACACAGCTCGCGTGGTTACAGAATGGGTAAAAAACAACCACAAAACTGTTTTGTCATAGCCAGCTAGAAGTCCTGACTTAAACCCCATTGAAAACCTGTGGGGTTTTATAGTTAAAAAATTATATCAACGGGAATTTAGGCTAGCAGACCGAAATGAACTACGGAATGCTGTTGAAAAATCTTGGGAAGAGCTTGCTGAGTCATACGATATGCGTAAACTAATAATGTCCATGCCAAAAAGGTTGCAAAGTATTAAAATAGCTTATGCATAATGCTCATGAGCAGCAGCACAGTTTTTTAAACCAGCATTGTCTTCATTTACGTTGGAGATTTTACCGATACGAACTACGGAATGCTATTGAACATTCTTGGGAAGAGCTTAAGACATTTAAATCTGCAGCTATTTTACTTAAGGACCAATTTTCTTGAGCAATATGATATTTTAGTTATGTTATTTATATTTTTTATTTACCTACTTGTTAATATTGTTGTACAAAACCAAATTAACGTTAATTTATTTGTAATATTGTTTATACCAACCAAAAATCGTTCACATTTCGGGGACGCCAATTGTACATGCATTTTGGATTTTACTATTTTTTGTTGTATTATGGTTTTGGGTCCCATAAACGCTTATAACTAATGCTTTTAAACAAAGCCCTTAATAGGAATTCCAATGTATTGGTGAAAATTGGCAATAGGTAATAATGCAATGCTGTAACAAAAACAATTATTATAATTGTGCTTTATAAGCTGCATTTGAATATCTATTTGAAAATCAGGAAATTTAAAAACTATCCCTCCTGTTCCCTTGTAATTTCTAAATCGTAAGGCCGCAAAATTGCTCTGATGGTTTGGAAATGTTTTTTGAAACCTAACTTGAAGTAGAGACCCTTGGAAGCATCGTTCTCGGGACGGATGACAACGAACGGGATGTAGCCCCTTTCTCTCACGATTTTTGTCAGGTACTTGGCAAGAATGAACCCGTATCCTTTCCTTCGGTACTCGGACTTGGTTTGCATGGAAAACATCGCACCGTAGTACGACTGCACCATCCACGCTGCCAGTTCTCCATCGGACGAAAACACACCGTAACACGGCAGTTTTTTCACTAGCTTTTTAAAAACTTCTATGCCTTCCATCTGATTGGCTGGATAAAGATCATGGATCATGCACATGTGTTCTTCGCGCAGCTGAATTATTTTAGCGTTTTCGGCCAGTTCTCTGAAAACAATACAAACATCGGCATCAATAAAGTTGAAAGGTTTTATTTATTTAGATCGCCTAAGGATAAGGAAACTCGAATGGATATGAAAACATTTACTTTGCGTTGTTTGGGTTGCATATACTACGCATTTAATTTGAATTCAGAAGCCTTATCCAATCGATGGTTACAGTTGCTATAAAATACATTTGAGAAACGATCAAACAAAATGCAATACACGTTGTACATTCGTTGATATGTACTCACAATACTTTTAATTTAAAAGTTTTAAATTCGTTTTTAAATTTTCTCCTCACATTTTTAGTAATTTATAACTGTGGGATAAGGTTTTAGAAAAAATGTTGTTTGGTACTCGATTGCAAAATTCTTTTGCATTTTCGAATGATTTTTTTGCTTGCTCTCGCTCTAAAAAATCTAGAATGCAAGTGGCATTTAGCAATCTTTTGCATTTTCGAATGATTTTTTTGCTTGCTCTCGCTCTAAAAAATCTAGAATGCAAGTGGCATTTAGCAATCCACAGTTTAAAAATTACTACAAATGTGGAGAGAAAATTGTAAAACGGATTTAAAAGTAGTTTGCGTACATAGTAACGGATATACTTAATGGATTATTATGTATCAAGTTTGATAAACGCCATTTTATACACGAATTTAATTTAGGCACGAGCGAGCTTCCTCCTTTTTCTACGACAAATACTTATTATCATCTTAAAAAAATTTAAATTCAATATTTGTATGGAGCGCCATCTATGAAACAACAGGGAAATCTGTGTCACCGTCAAATGTCAAATTTTTAAAGGTTATAGGGGGGTGAAACTCATAGGAATATGCGCAACAAGCGCCTCCCGAGCAACGTTGCCATATTTTTTTTGTGGCTTAAGTCATCTTTTTTAATAATTATTTTAATTGTCAGTTTTGACTTCTGTCAACAATAGAAAGAAAATTGATAACGGTAAAGATCTATTTCTAAGCTTTTAAGTATTTTTTGAGTTTTTTTTCATCTGTATTGCTTTCCCTTGAAGTTACAGTAAGTATATACAATAAATCAGTTGCTTTTATATGTTTTTTTGGAGATTGACATACCTACCTATTAAATAATTAATTTGTATGTAATTTATTACGATTAGTTTTTTTTGCAAAAACCAATACTTACTACTTAATAATATTGGAACATTTGCTTTAATAGGGACTATTGTTGTTTGAAAGTAATTTCCAGCGTACTGATGTCCCTGGTGGAAGAAGTTATTGAAATTTTTACTTTTGTTAAAAAATGTAATGCATTAATGGACATCAAAATTTTGTTAATACATGTATGTTTTTTTAGGGCCAAAACCGATGCAGGAGGGACGTTTTATACCTTCTTTTACTTCTGAACCCATTCAAAATACAGATGCCCTGTTTGTATATTCTTTAATTTATTTTATTGTTAAATTAGTGTATTACTTATAACCATTTACTTTTTAAATTAAATAAATCTTTGCATTTATTTTATTTTATTGGTCATATTTAAATAAATTAATATTATAATTATTAATATATACAAAATAGATTAAGCCGGTCCTGTAGTATAAAAGTTAATACAATATTTGGAGTACGGCCCTAATTGGCAGGCGTTTATGACTTTTGTGTTGCTTAAGTTTAACACAGTGGTCGCCCTTCTTATATTCTTTTTCTTTGGTTATAGGTAAATCGTCTTCCTTAAAAATGGACAGTTTTTCACAGTGTTTAAAACAGTCTGTTTTTGTTTGCCACCTCCGTCTTAAAAGAGCCTGTACAATTTTAAATTATTAACTTGTACAAGATAAAATACATTTAAATTGGTAAGATTTATTACATTCCAAACGTATAAAAACTACATTCAAAATGACTTTATCCCAATGTATTGTATGTGAATTACATTTTAATTGGAAATTAATTTCATTTAAAAAGTAAAAAAAATATTTTAAATGGACATAGATTTTACATATTAAATATAGTTGTACATTTTGCTTGTAAAATAACATTTAAATGTAATATTTCGGATACCAGCAACGTATCAAAATAACCAATTCCAATTAGCGAAATTTTACATGAAAACCTTTTTCAGTGTAGGCCCCTACGGCGTATTAACCAACCCTGGTACTAAATCCATGATCGAGGGGTTTACAGAATTAACTTAGTTTTGTCTATCTTCCCCTGAAAACCAAAAGGTTATCCCTCCTTGTCCCAAACTCCATTAGCCTAATCGGGCGTATAGTCCGGCTTGGCGACAAAAATCGATCCTGTCGTTCACGATCTTCCAAGGGATATATACCGACCGGGGTAAAACTTTGTATCCATCAAATACAAATAATGCTTTGCAGTTATGGGATATGTAGGAGAACCAAAAGGGGGTAAAAATATCCCTGAAAGATAATAATGTTTTTAGCAGGGACTTGTAACCAAACCTAGTACAGAAATATAACGACAGAAAAGGAGTTTCTGGCGTTATGGAATCGAGTAACATAACAAAATTAAAACATAATTAAAAACGGAACGTTGGAAATCGTTCCCAACAAGTAACAAAAAAATAACGAAACTAGCAAAACTAGCAAAACTCTAAGCAGAACCAAAACAAGTATGGAACGAACCAGCCAACAAAGCCTTTTGGTACAGAAACTAAACTAGTAGGTAACGTTTTTTGTGTATCAAAATTGTAAACTGTTATAATTATAATTATTATTAATTATAATTAATACATATTGTACAATATTGTTAATTCAAATTTTTACCCAGTATGAATTTTTTTAAAATGTTAATAACCCCCCGCCCACCCAACCAATACCTTATCTATGATGTTAATACTTGACAGCTACTAGACAGTTTACAAATATTTTTACCAAGACTTTGTGTCGTCAATTTTGTGAAAGTTATAAAAATTCAACATTTGGTAACAGGTTCGTTACTCAGTCTTACCAGGTTCGTTTCAATATTCCGTATTTCGGTAGTTGTTGGGCACCTGCGATTTTCGTTAAAGTCTGATTTATAGATTGCCTTCCTTCCTTTCTTCCTTCCTTCCTTCCTTCCTCCCGTAGAAGATGAACAATACAAAAACCTGTTGTCCCGTACGGAAATCTATAAATGGCACTACAATTTTCGTATTGTTCATCTTCTACGGGAGGAAGGAAGGAAGGAAGGAAGGCAATCTATAATTCAGGCTTAACCGTTATCAAGACTAACTACTAGTATAACTACTAAAGTCATCGTTTTAGTACTATTAAGTATTATTTCTGAATATTTTGTTATCATTTTCGGGAATTTAGTTTTGATCCTTAGATGAAGAACGAAATCTGGTATACCGTAACTGAAACGCGTTAAAAGTCCCTGGGTATTTATTAGTCGCTGTAGTGCCCAGCACGCGACGTAACAATTGAATAACACAAACACAACACCTTTAACCGTTCCCCAACCCTTTATCTAAATGACATAAAATTTAAGGTATGGGAGGGCCCTGTAAGGGAATTATTTCCCGGGCCCTAAAATCACCCCAGAACGCGCCTGCTTCCTATGTTTATTAAATAAAGATATAAATTTTTAACAGTAGGTATGTGTTAAAAGAAAGCGTTTTACGATTAATGTTAAAATAAACTTTTATTCGTATAAGCAAATTATTTAGGGACACTATGTATAAAATATTAACTAAAATCTAAGCACCAATCAAATCATCTGAATTCAAATCGAACGCGCCCTTAGACAAACCTTTTATTGAAAATAAAATGTAGTAGGATTGTTATGTATTTTATTATATACAATATATTTTTCCAATTTTTAAAAGGCATTTTCTGGAATAAAGTTACTTTGATTTTATAAATTTGCATAAATTTTGTAAAGAGCACTTAAGGGCTTTGTCGTAGATACTCTTCAAGAAATAAACACAACATTTTTCTATGAAAATATATAAAGTATTTGTCATAAATTGTTATTCTTACCTGACCCATGCCCATCCTAGTAAACTATTTGAACCTGTAGACTTCAATCAAATTTATGGAGTCTCGGCAATAATTTAATTAAGTAGTCACATAATTCATCAAAACCATTTTGCTTAATTGCGTTCTATGTTCTTGAAAATTAAGTTATACCTACCTAATATTCGTGAAAAACACCTACGAAGTATTGTTATTTAATTATGTGTATATTTTCTTTGTGTTCGTTTATTATAATTACCATCAATAGAGTATAGGAGCCTATAGACTAAGTATACGTAATTGGATTGATATCGTGCAATTGTTTTGTCAAATTTGGTTTAATGAGGGGTTAATTTCTTGAAGAGACAAACACAAACTTACTCATCCTCCGCGTCTTGTAATTTGGAATTCGATAAAATATAAAAATCTCCATATTGTTTCTCAATGGTTCCTATATCTTGGTAAAAATCCTCTATTTTTTCTATTATTAAATTATGCGTAAAGTTTAAATATAATGGTTGGTTCCAGTTAATTAATACATCTTCTTGTTCTAGAAATTTTAAACTGTCTAATTTATCACATGGGCAGAAGACGCTAAAGCTTTCATATAAATTTCCATTTGGCTAAAAAATAATAAACAAGTTAAATATTTAAAATGTATCACTAAAATTTTACCCTTTTCATACTGAGTTGCCTAGACCAAACCAATAGATGATCTTATGTCGGATGTCGGGACAGTATTATAATATTTAGCCAAGCCAAGAGAGGACGCGGATTTTATAATTTTTTGACGTTTTGACGTTTTTAACCTTTTTGACGTTCAATTATATCCGTAGTTATCGCATTTTTGTAAGATTTTGTGTATTTGTGTTTTTATTGTGTATTGTTTCTAAGGTATGTATTATAACACTTTGACCGAATCATAATCTTTTAGATGGTAGGCAATAAAATTTATGGATTTAACAGTATTCTTCAATTTCAAAATAATGATCAATGAGACACTTACTTTTGGTAGACTTTTAAAAATAACAAAAATAATGTTTTCTTACTACCTCGACTCAAAATACGTTGTTTCGTCCCCGATTTCACGGCAGAAAGTTTACGTTTCTTGCATTGGTCAAGCTATACGCGCACACTCTAATAGCGGGAGTAATAGTATATTACACTACAAGGGCAGAAAGTGTGAGATTCCTGCACTGCGCGCCATGATGCCCGAGGCGAAGCCGAGGGCATCATGGCGCGCAGTTCAGGACTCTCACACTTTCTGCCCGTGTAGTGTATACTATTTTTCTTACTACCCGGCAGAAAATACGGAAAAAAATTAAATGTATATAAAAAAATTTGTGTCAAAATTAAAATCTGACGTTTAATTTAATTCTGACGTTTACATTCAAAATCAATCAAACTGTAGCGTTGTCATGGTAATTCAGCAGTGCCAATACAGTAAAAATAAAAGGTTGTATTTTAATTAACAAATTACTACTTTATAACAAATAAAAGTACCATTAAACACTTAAAACAACATAAAAAGTAAAAAAGTAAAAACATAAATTGTTTATTTGTTGTTATAATTGCAAAATTATGGTTTAAAACTGTCATATATTTGTGTTTCTCATGTTGGCAGTACGAAATTTAAATGTTAAGCACGCGACTAAAAAATTTTTACTCCCGCTATTGGAGTGTTCGCGTATAGCTTGACCAATGCAAGAAACGTAAACTTTCTGCCGTGAAATCGGGGACGAAACAACGTATTTTGAGTCGAGGTAGTAAGAAAAAATTTTTTAGTCGTGTGCTTAACATTCAAATTTCGTACTGCCAACATGAGAAACACAAAAATATGACAGTTTTAAACCATAATTTTGCAATTATAACAACAAATAAACAATTTATGTTTTTACTTTTTTACTTTTTATGTTGTTTTAAGTATATAATGGTACTTTTATTTGTTATAAAGTAGTAATTTGTTAATTAAAATAAAACCTTTTATTTTTACTGTATTGGCACCGCTGAATTACCATGACAACGCTACAGTTTGATTGATTTTGAATGTAAACGTCAGAATTAAATTAAACGTCAGATTTTAATTTTGACACAAGTTTTTTTATATACATTTAATTTTTTCCCGTATTTTCTGCGGGGTAGCAAGAAAAATAGTATACACTACACGGGCAGAAAGTGTGAGATTCCTGAACTGCGCGCCATGATGCCCTCGGCTTCGCCTCGGGCATCATGGCGCGCAGTGCAGGAATCTCACACTTTCTGCCCTTGTAGTGTAATATACTATTCTTACCATATATGAATGGTACTTTTTGAAATAAGTATGATAATGATTTAACGAGTTTTACAAATTAAAAAAATCAGAGATTTTACAAATGAATACTAAATACACTTGTTTTACATTTACCTAGGTACATACATTTGTTTTCCTCATTGCTTTTCCATAAATCTGCGAATTTCTTTAGTTTATAAAAGTTGACCAGCATAACCACAGAAGTACCTTAAATACATGGTATTGTTTTCGTTACTAAAAATTACATTTAAAATCTAACCACAAGTTAGATTTTAAATATAGCGCCATTGAAGTAACCAATCAAATACGTTGATTTTCCACCAATTAAAAGCTATGTTGGCAACAGTTGCCTGTAAACACGTAATTTAATTTTTAACCAAGTTCAGAGAAGGCGCTTTATTTGGCTCCAAACTATATAGGTACTCTTTAAGATAGTCATCTATTGGTTTGGTTTAGGATTGCCTATCTATTTCTTTATAATCTGTGGTTGGTATCTCATTCAATTTTAAAATTTTCGATTGCCATTTCGAAAATGGAACCTAAATTTAAGCGGCCTAGTATTTCGAAAGAAAAAAACGCATCATTTACCAAGCTTTCCATAAAATTTCGGAAAAAATGGGCAAATCTTATCAAAGAAAAGATTAATTTGGCAAATGAACTAACCTCAAATACAAACACCCTTTTGGATCTCACACCGCAAAAAATTAAGGAATGCAAAGCATTACACAGCAAAAGAAACTAGGTAACCAGAATCTAGTTTTGGCTACCGAACATGAATTGATAATATTATACCTACTTCTTTCGGAGTTGATTAAAATTTTTGCCGGAAAATATGAAACGCCTGAAGTCCCAGAGGTAAGTCACGTCGATGTTTTGGACAATTCCCCGAATTCGAACAAAATTGGACAATTGAAAACTGAACTTATAAAAAAGAATAAATTTTAAAAATGGTAGGACAAATTCTCACATTGGGTTAAATTTAAAAAATGCATTGTAGGAAAAATTTGCAGTCTTAAAAAGTGGTAAAAATTCACAAAATTTTCAATATTTTTAAAATTTTCTACATTTTTAAATTAAAAAAAAAAAATTTGTTATCAGTTGTTTTGATATAAGAATTTCATTTTATATTCTGGGAAGGAAATTGAATAACGAGCGTAGCGAGTGATCCAACTCTACGAACAAAGAATGCCACGTGAATTGTCAATAATGACAGATAACAGATGTCAGCTTATTTTGTTTCGTATTTTTTTTTCATATGTCTCATTAGCTTATTTTTGACATCTTTTATAGATTATTTTTGACACCTGTCATCTGTCATTTTTGTCACCTATCATTTTTGAAATACGACCAGTATTTGTCACATAAAACTTAGGGGAAAGCCAAGATGGCATTTTTTCTTGAAGTAGTGGTATACCAGCTTTACAACATATGGTAAGAAAAATTTGCAGTCTTAAAAAGTGGTAAAAATTTACAGAATTTTCAATATTTTTTAAATTTTCTACATTTTTAAAAAAGTTTGTTATAAGTTATTTTTGTTATAAGAATTTCATTTTATATTCTGGGAAGGAAATTGAATAACAAGCGTAGCGAGTGATCCAACTCTACGAACAAAGAATGCTACGTGAATTGTCAATAATGACAGATTACAGATGTCAGCTTATTTTGTTTCGTATTTTTTTTCATATGTCTCATTAGCTCATTTTTGACATATTTTATAGATTATTTTTGACACCTGTCATCTGTCATTTTTGATATCTGTCACCTATAATTTTTGAAAAACGACCAGTATTTTTCACATAAAACTTAGCTCCTGGGCGGAAAGCCAAGATGGCATTTTTTCTGGAAGTAGTGGTATACCATCTTTACAACATATGAAAACTGAATGTTTTTTAGCAAATGCAATGATTTTGCAAAAACAATAAAAGGCACAAATTCTGATTACAATTTTGTAATCAGGTAAAGAATTAAAAAAAAATACCACATTCTGCGAAAAATTACAATAGGTATTTAATTTCTCGGTAATTAATTATCTCCACAAAATTTAAGAAAAATCGGAGTCGGTGTGGTGAAGAACACTGTCTCACTGACTTGAAATGACTCATATATTACGGAAAAACAGCTTATTGCTTATGATTTTATTACGCTACTTTTGCGCCATGTGAACCAAATTTTACCTAAAACACTATTTAATAGGCCCAAAGTTAATTATGAAAAACCCTATTGAAACCAATTAAACTGCAAAATATAATTTCCTTTAATAAATCCATTAACTTTTTGCAAAATGATTTTTTTGCCGGAATTAATCTAAAAATAACTTTCATCATAAATTTATAATAAAAATCGAGGAACACGTTTATAAAATTGAATTTTTCCTACGCACGTTGAACAAATTTTCTATATAAAAGAGCTCAAAACCACTTACAATATCCGTTTTGCTTTACTATACTTACAGTTAAAGTCATTCCAGGAAAATGCAATATAACAGGATTTTCAGGCCATGTCTTCGTAACATAAAAGTGGAAATTCCATATGCGATCATTTAAATAAGTCTTAATTGTTTGATGAAACTAAAAAATAAAGATGAACATATTTAAACTTTACTAAAAATGGATGTTTCGTGTTTTTAATTTTTAGTAATATTGTTTTTGAATATTTTCATGAAATAATGTTGACTACCTTTGACACTATTGTTTTCAAAATTAAATATTTCGATATTTTGCACAAAAATAGTAAACAGATAAAAGCTTTTTTCTACTCCTATTACGGAATTTGACCGTTCTAATATCACTTTTGTCTATGGAATGACATATATTCCGTAAAGTGCTACAGAATGAAATATTCTATCATCTGATTACAGAATAAACACTCGTGGCGACCGATCCAACCTCACTTTCTTCCAATTAAATTATTTTTCTAAGGTATTTTTTGGAAACGTAGAAAAAGTATAGTCTGAAACACGTTTGGAATTGCATATTCCGCTCTCGTGAAACCGTCAAACTCGCCTTCGGCTCGTGTGACAAACTCTTCACTCGAGCGAAATATGCTGTATTCCAAACTTGTTACAGAATATACTATTATAATGCAAGTAACAGTGGTTAGGCGTCAGTGATTGGCCGATTTCATTATTCAATGTGATTTGGACCAATCGGGTTAAGGAGTAAGAGTACTTTTCTTAACAGAAAATGCGCAAATTTTGCGCATCGAGGAGTGGCGAAAATCGCACTTTTCCCACGGCGAGCGTTATGAAAAATTTATTTCCATCCGCTATAGCGGTACCAGTTAAGAAAACGGTTTTGTATTTATAAAATTAAGCACATTTTGTAAGCAACAACTTTTTTAAAACTTGAAAATGGTTTTCAAATTTTAAAAATCAGGTCTGGATGGCCAGTTTTCTTAACAAAATTTATGTTTATTAGTATTCTTATAAATGTTTTGGGGTGGCGCAGTGTTATTTTAACTTTTTAATAATTAAATAATAAATAATTATTATTGTTGTTGTTGGTTATAGCATATGCATAGGCAACTAACATTACGTGTTTATAGATTGCCTATAGACAAAGTCTAAAATCATTAGAGAAGAATTGCATCATATCTTCAATCAAAGCTGCTTTTCTTAGCCTTTAGATTGAGAGTAAAAATCCGGGACATTTTTATTAAATTAAAAATGTACTATTTTCACAAAGCTTTATTATCCTAGGTTAGTTTAAGAAGTTGCTTAGCACTTTGCACAACAAGTGAGCTGAGAGACGCACTTTTGATCGGGTAGGCTTTCAGGACCAAAAATATCTAGGGATACAAGCAATTGCTTAAGTTTTCCGGTGCTTACTTTATATTGTTAAATGCTTACTAAAAACCTTTTTATTATAATTAATGTTTAATACAAAATCATTACCAACAATGTTTTTGTGTTTCAGGTAGATTTAGCAAATCTGGTGTTATTTGGATATCTAGTAGTATAGTGCAGTATTTTTGTTAACTTTGTTTCTATCAAGTGTACGAAATATTATTGAAAACGTTATTCCGGTACAAATCGGTAGGGAACAAATAAATTCAATTCAATTTGCATAGCTACAAAATATTGAAAGTAGTATATAATCAAAATCAAGTTGTTCAGGCTCAAGATTAAAAAGCCTCTACCAATGTAATTGTTCCAAAGTCTCTCTTTACAAGAAAAAGGTAAAATATTATCAAACATTTTTAGTGTTTTTTTCAATGTTATTTATATAAAATAAATAAAATATAGATTTGGTTTATTTTACGACCTACGCTTATGAGACTTTATACACTGAGAGAAAGAAATAATTAAATTAATTAAAATTTTAATTCGTTTAAATAAGAATTTTAATACCATATGGGACAATTAAACCGTTTAATACATTTAGGAATAAAAATATTCCTGAAACTTTTAATTGTTTTTATTAAACTTATTATATGCGTTTTTAGAAAAATACTTAATACCATTTATTAAGCATAAAACCTTAGATTTATTAAGCAAGACACTTAGATTTATTAAACAAGACACTTAGATTTATTAAACAAGACACTTAGATTTATTAAATATTTTATTAGTATTAATAATTTAGCTTAATAAAAATAATTAAACTGTTATTGGGTTTAAATAAACTTGTTTGTCAAATCTATGGTAATTTTTATTATTTTTTTTATTTGGAATAATTAAGCAGTTTATTTAATATTAAAGGTATAGCTTAATTAAAATAATTAAACCTATATGGGGTTAAATAAACTTGTTTGTTATTTCTATTAACTAAATACTTACGCTTATTAATACATATTTACCAAGGATAATTATGGAGCAAACATGCAAAAGCCGATATATCCATTTTAACTTATTCTAAAATATTGGCCAACATGTGTACAGCCGAGTCCCCCAAATATTTAAAAACTATTAAAAGGGAATGTTGCTCCTGTTGGGTTGTCTCTGTATCGGTTTTTCCTTAAAAAGCTGTGCTAAGTTAAAAGAGTTTACCAAAATTAGTATGAATACTCTTAAAATGTAAAAACGGTTTTTGCATGTTTGCTCCACAATTAATCAATTAGTTAATGAATATTTTAGTAACTATAATTAAGATTAAATAAAAAAGTTTATTTAATAAAAATAAAAATTTTATTAGGTACATGAAAAACTAAGCAAATCGACCCAGTTAATAATAACATATCAACATTTATATAAAACATTAAATAAAAAATATAAATACTTTAAACCCTAAACTAACTTTAATACATAATATTTTAAAAATTTAACCTAATTAAACCTTTGAATGTGATTTTTTTGGTTGTATATGAGCTAATCAAGTTTTTGAGGTGATTGGTTTTGAAGTTGCGTGAAGAGTGTAGAGTGAAGATTCTTGAATCAATAGCTGCGATGTAATTTCATTGAGAAAGCTAGAAAATTTCTCTACTATCGGAACTATCGGAATATGTTGTTAAAGTGCGGTTAGAAACCGTTGTTTCCAAAGAATCAGTTGGAGTTGATTCTAATTGAGTATATTCAATTTAAAATAATAAGAAAATAAAGTTTATTAACAATTGTTAACTTACTTACGAATAAATATTTCCTTAAACTCTTCCAACCCTCAATCTTCCAGCAATTTTTAAAACATATTTAAACTTCACCCACCATAAAAATACACAAATTTCATGGAATACATTTATTATTATTATAATATCTACTATTACATGCACTCTTTCTAATCAGGTTGGACTAGTCTATGGCATAGACTCTATGCAAGCAAGGCAAATCAGATAACCTCAAACGCACGTTGTGCCCCGCAATAACGAAAAGTTTGTGGTCAAAAATCGGAAAAAAGGTTCGGATGTTTTCGGACCACTAAATTTTAATAACCTGTTACTTAAACCTATTAAACACATTATTTAAATCTATTAATCCATATTTTTATTAAACAAACATCTTAGTTTTAATGATTTTATTAATAGGTTCTAGTTACTTAAATTTCAGGTATTAGGTTGAATAATAATAATTAACAACATATTCCATTTCAATTGTTCAGTTTAATAAAAATAAAAAACGTGTTTTAGGAATTATGTTTTATCTAGAATAAGAAAACGTTTTATTTGGTGTTATTAAAAATTGTTTTAAATTAATTAAAATTTTGTTAAGAACTCTGTTTAATAGGACGATTTTTCTCAGTGTATAGGTACCTTTAAAATTTAATTGAGCTAAAACAAGACGAATATATAGCTTTGTAATTTAAATAATTGCTTCCCATTAAATAATAAACAATTCTAAAATTTATCAGTAAACATTGCATCTGTTAACTTAATAAACCAAGTACTTGTATTATACAGTTAAATAATAAATTTCAACTTTAACTGATAACTCACAAGTTAAACACGACTGAAAGGGATTTTTATTTATCAATTCAAGGATAATAGGAGAATGGTTTAATGAAAAGGAATCCTTAATAAACATTTTTAAATAAATACATTTAATTACATTTAATTATTGTCAACACACTTACTTTAATGGAGTCTGGTAAATATGTTGCAAGAATATCTACAATCTCTGGAAGCTCAGATTCGTTAACCAGCTTAAAATGTTTACCTTCAAAAAGAATTTCTTCCATAGCTAAAAATAAAAAAAAATATTTAAGTTATTCAAATTGAAGAAGGGTTTTTTACATCCTTCATAATAGTAGTATTAAGGCACCTCTGACAATAGATGATTAGAATAAATGGCTTTATTGTCTTGAATTAGTTCTGAATTATTGATTAATTCACTCAGAAATAGGTAAGTGTTTTAAAACATTCACGACGTGTAGGTCTTCAAAGTCGAAGACCATCACAGTTTCTATAAAAATCACGAATTTTAATTTGACACTCGGGATCAAAATAAAATCATTGACTAATAAATCAGGAGAGTAATTACAATATAATGTGGGTTTTTAAACAATTTTTTTTGAACGGCTGTGTGGAAACCAAGAAAACATGACAATTGCAGGATGATCTGTGGTTTCTGATTGTTTTTCAAAATTTCTTTAATTCTGACAAACAAAAATGCATAAAAATCACAAACTCATTCGAATTTTTTATACTCGACATAAGGGTTTGGAACGCCGGATTTGATAGGTTAATTAAATACCTAAAAAATTTGAAAACAATTTTTAATTTTATTTGGACATAAAGAACACATCTTCCGATCAGTGGCGTAACAAATTCTTCTATATTATATACATAATATTTTTTAAATTAAAAATTTTGATAGGTAGGTATAGAGTGTATACGATAGACAGACATACGATAAGCTAATAAAAAAGGATTAGGGAAGAAAAATTGCTGCATCTGCAATTTTTGGTAGTAAAACATAAAATATTTAATGAATATTGTTTTAAAAATATCTTATTCTATATACCTTTTTATATGCAGGATCATTTTCGTAATTCTATAATATATAATAATATAGATTCTTTTAAAAAAATATTTTATCTAAACATTTTCTGTTCTTATTACCAAATTTTGCCTTTCTTAGAACGGCAGTATTATACTATTATATCAGCAATAATAACAATTTAAAAATAATAGTAATTTAAAAAATGTATACATATTTTACCAACCTCCCTCTTTTCGTGAATTTTTTTATTACATCCTCGCATATGTGCTGCTAAATTTCTCCAAGAACGCGTCGAATACCGTCTTTAAGTTGATGATTGCTGGTTTTTTACCCAAATTTGCAATTTTGGTGTGTGCTTCATCGCTTAGCAGATTGCCTTGCCAGTATCCAATTAACAAACTCCCGGCGCATTGCATGAACTACTGGGATTAGCTCCTGTGTTAATTGAATTTTGTATGGATGCAAATGAAGACATTTGTTAAAATTTGCTGTAAACCGCTCCTTGAAATAGCAACCTGTTGTTTTCCGTACTGCTGCAATATTTCTAGCAGATCGGCTAGTACGACAAGGCACAGGTATTTTATGTCCCCAACCCAACCATTTTCCTCAAATTTATTCTCTAACCTTTGCACTGTCTTTTCATTTGGATCATTAGCATGACCGAAAATTGGACATAATTTTTGAACGGTTTCTGCATAGCATTATCAATATTTATAATGAGTCTTAAGAATAGTAACACGTTGTTCTAGAGAATACCGCTTCATGACTTAAAAATTTGGAATGTTTTTACACTAGAGAAATCATATTTTTAAGGTTGCACTGCAAAAAATAGGAATACATCGAAATTTAAATCCGGCGTTTCTATTGAGACAGCCTTTATATGGGAAATTACAAACTATATCAAAGAAAGTCGAATAAATGATTAAATATACAGGTTTTAAAGACCTTCGTCCTGAAATTCAATTTCTCAGCTGTGTTGCAATAAAAAAATAGTAGTAGCATTAAATAAAAAATTATGTAAAAATTGAATTTTAGTAGAAATAACATAAGTCATATAATAAAGAAAGTAATATAAAATAACTTTAAACCAGTTCAGTGAAAACTGCACAAGTGGAATTTTTCTTAAATAAAAAAATTAATGGTTCATGTATCATGCTCAGTTTAAGAAAAATAAAAAAAAACTGAAGCTATTTGTGCGTAATATATAATGTTTAATGTATTCTTGAATAAGCACAGCCTCTCTGATGTAACTCTGTTATGTATGTAGGTAAATATCTGCAGTGCTCGTTAGGTGTTTTATCTATTTATTTCCACTTTCCAATACAAACATCCTTGCATCTACATATGTATTTGTTAGGATTAATTTGACGAAAATTATATCGTTAAACGTTTCTTGGATACTAGTTTTGTTTTTAATATTTAATTTATTTTTCATGTCTGTTATTACTTGGTTTGTTATAGCATGCAATATTTGATTTTTTTTTATTATTATCACGTATGTTCGCCCTGAATAGTATGGTTGTTTTTAGTTTTAAGACTATTACCATACTTATTTTTTTCCTTAAAAATTACTTTGAAAAACGATAAATTCTCTCGGTATTCGTGTTTCAAACATTATCAAATTCTTTGAAAGTTATAATCTTTTTACTTGTAATAAAACCACTATCAGCGTTTAATATTTGCTCCTTTAGTATAACCAGGGCTGGATGCTCCCGTGTACGAGTTTTGGTTCGTCCCGCGCATGACGTCACTTGATGAGTAGTTGCCGTGCGAATACACGAATAATAGTAATATTATCAAAGAAAATAGAGAAATTTCTGGACATAGTACGTTTTTATTAAACTTAATATTGAAGAAAGTGTTATAATATGGATAATAAATGCTTTCAGTCCTTGATAACATTTAGGGCTGTAGTTTAAGCGTTAACCAATTGGTGTTTTAAATTAAACTTATAGTCACTGTCCAGAAAATGTTTATAGGAAACAGAAGCGGTCTTAACGTAAATATTGTCTATTATTTTTGTGGCATTTAAACACTGTTTCCACAAATCAAACTTTTTCGGGAATCGATTAAATTTAATGTTTTTATTTAAAGGGTTTTTCTTGGACTGGTTGTCCGAATTGCATCCAAATATGCCACACCGCATTTTAATAAATGCAAATGGCACTATACAATCTAAAACAAAAACAAAACAAGTTAACGCAACACAAAAACAATATTAAACAAACCTAAGAGGTTAACCTAACGCAATAACAATAATTTGAACGCTGAAAAGTAATTCAAACCTTACCGAACACAAAAACGACAAGTTAAACAAAAAGTAGAGCAAGTTAACATCCAAAAGCATCGCAAAAACAAGAATTTTAGCAGCAGATAATTAAAAAGCACGTTAAAGATTTAAAAACACTCATCAAGTGACGTCATTAAGCCCCGCCCAACATGCGCACCATCCTATCTTAAGGTGTATGTATCTTGAGTATAACATTGTGATGTCATGCACTCTCTTTAAATTAAAGTCATCAAGTCGTTTTGAATCTCGCGTTTTTAAAAAGGCTGTAGCGTTCCCAAAAATTAATTTAACAAAACATTTTGTGATAAAGCCCTGTTTGATTATAATGGAAGTCGACTTTGTAATTAAGTTAATTCAATACAAGATTCTTTTGATTTTTCCAGTGCCGTGCATAGATTTTTTTTAAATCGCTTATATGAATTCTTAAAAATTTACTCTTAAACACTGACATAGTAGGCATTGTATTTTGTTAAAATATGTCGTTTTTTGCTTCAAAAATACAGTATATCAAGATATGCACTTTAATAAAATAAGTCCGGTTAAAATCGCACAATAAATAAAGATTTTACAGGGGTGAGTCGCAAACAAATCAGTCACACTGTATATATATATATATATATATATATATAAATATATAATTAAATAGTCAAAATTGTATTAACATTGTTTACTAATAAAATAGTATACATATATTTGTATAAACATATATGTTTATACAAATATATATTTTGAAATATGCCTAAGTATTATTTTTATTACCCCATTATACACACAATATGACATACTATAATAATAAAAGTACCTAATTACTATTTTTATTATTGGAGGTCATGGGCACACAAAGGGGTAGGAGGTAAGAGAGGCAATTTGCACTGGCCCCCGAGTGGGCTTTTTCCAATACGGTTGTTGCTCGCTTGGCAAAAAAATAAATAAAAACTAGTTTCGGGAAAGGTATCACACAGGAAATACTCTGTTAGAGGTCGCAAAATACCCTGTTAGATGTATTAATATAATATTAACAATTAAGGGTATTCAAATTTATTGAAACTTTCAATAAATTTCCCAAATTTGATGAAATTTCAGAAATTTAGGAAATGTTAGTAAATTTCATAAATGTCATGAAAATTTCAAGTATAACAGCAAAAAGTGAAATTTTTCCAACCCTAGCGGCAGCTATTAAAATATACAACAATGTGGTTTTACCATATATAACTTTATATTGTGCAATGTCGTATTTTGTTTGGAAAGTTTATTTTATTAAAGTGAGTAAAATAATTTTAACAATTGATCTTAGATCCTAGAAGCTTTATAATGGTTCTCTGATCTATAGAAAAGCATATTTGTGTAATGCATATTTAATAAAAATGTTATGTAAACTTCTTTGTGTTTGGTTTTGTCGGAGCCTGTCTACTAGACAGTGTCTAGTCTTTTGTGCCTTATCCACTATTCAGCATTTTTTAATTACCGATCTAAAAAACTTATTAAATTTCCATATAATTTAAAAAATGATACCCTTGATGTGTTGCTCATTAAGGACTTGGGTATGCATTTTGATTCAAAAGTATCTTTTAATCAGCATATTAATATGACTGCAAACGGTATTAAAAACTTTAGGTTTCATAAGCAGAAACATAAAAGAATTCAATGTTACCTGTATAAAATAAATGTATATGTCATTTGTCCGAAGTGTCCTTGAATATTGTTGTCATATGGACACCATATTACACATCCAATAGTAACTTGATTGAGATAGTCCAGAACAAGTTTCTTCGTAATTGTGCTTTCAGACTCAATATTCCTACTGAGGAAATAGTATGTTCTCATATAAGGCATTTATTGGGTCTTGATCCATTGGCCGTCAGGAGGGAAAAGGCTCAACTAGTGTTTTTATATAAACTCCTAATGAATTCTATAAACTGTAGTGCATTGCTTGGCAGAATTAACTAAA